ATAATTCAAAAAACATATCACTTATATTGATATAATGAAGAATTAGTTGAATTTTTGGGAAGATAGTTCCAGCAGTTTCGAAAATAAAAATAAAAGTTTGAAAAAATGCCATTTGGTGGCCAAAAAATATCATTAGACATATGCACATCAAATTATCAGATGTTTCATAGAGATTTTAGTAATAAAATCTTTTGTTTACAATTTATGGGTTATGAGATTGCTTTGAAACTTTATGAAAAAAAATCAAACTTTTCAAAAAAATTTAAGGCATTTAAACATTTTAAATTATTTACGACTTAAAATTTTAAGTCATCATCAGGTTTATACTCATTAGACTTGGTGTATACATCAATAAATGTGCACAAAGTTGGCACTAACATTTATAGTATACACCAACCTATCATTAACAAAGAGAATTTTTTTGTTTTATGTAAAATTGTGGAACATAAAAGAGTTGCGTAACAAAAATAATTAAGATAAAATACAAAATGTTTTTGCAAGAGCACTTGTATTTACAAATGGCACCGAGTCTCAAATGTCTTGTATTTTATCTAAATTATTTTTGTTACATAACTCTTTTACTTGCTATTATTTTACATTAAACTAAAAAAATCTTTTTGATAGTAAAAAGTTATTGTATGAATGTTAGTGCTAACTTATTCCCTAATTGATGTAAGAAACCACTGATGATGACCTAACATTTTATATCGAAACATTTGAAAAATTGAAGATTAATTCATAAATTATTGGCTATTATTTGATTTATTTCACTACTCATATATAACACACACACACACACATATATATATATATATATATATATATATATATATATGTATATATTTATACAACCAGCAAACAATTAACAATGACAATATTATTTAATTATAAAAGTACAATTAGTAATTTGATATAACTTTTGAAACGTGATACGAAGTACTTGTTATTATTAGTATATTAGTGCAGACAAAACATTTTGAAAAATTAATAACAAAGGTTGTATCTGCGTGAAATTTGATCAAATCTCACATTATACAATAGCAACTTGCCGATAGGTTAAATTCTAATATTATTTTTCATGTGATATATCATTGAAAAGAGCTCGAAGAGTACATTGAGAATTTAATATTCGATCTTATAAAATTTATAATATAAAAAAATATTATCTTACTTCCACCTACTGAAGTTAAGTTCTATGAAACTTTTACAATGAAAGTGAAATCAAGTATGATTTATATATATAGTGTAGTCGTATTTATCAGGATGACACTTATTATGTGAGATGCCACGAATAAAATTTGTTTCATTCAAGTGTCATATTAAATTGTCGACATCCGCTTAAAGTGACGGAGATTCAATTTGTCATATGGAACAGATTTTAAGACTTAATATAAACATACATAACATACATTTATACATTTATATTTATATATATATATATATATATATATACATATAAACATGAAACAGTATTTTTTATTTCGTAATGCAAACGGTACGTTCTGCAGAGCTCCGCAGTTTCGCAGAGCTGCAGAGCTCAGAGCTCAATTTTGCTAGAATTATGTATAACCAAAAAACTATTACATAAAATCCCACCGAAAAAGTCTAATACAGGGTATAATAAAAAAAACACTGATTATGAGATATAATATATCCATATATTAAAATTGCAGTACAAACGGCTCGTCCTGTGGAACTCCTTAAAATCCCAAATTGTAAAATATCAATCCATGGTATAAGTTCCATACATACCTATTGAATATTTTGCTAAGTCTTTTATAACTTAAAATTTTATTTGAGATCTTGTCTAATTATAATAGTAACTTAATAATAGTAAATTTCAAACGATAGGTATTAATACCTATCAATTGTTTACAAACCATACCAAGCAAAATCGTTTGAAACTCGAAATTTTCTCAATAAAGTAATTCATGTTATTATTTGTTGTTATAACAGACAATCTGAAAAATAACATACTTATTTCACAATGTTGTAGTACAGACGGTGCATCCTGCAGAGTCCTTTAAAATGTAATTTAATGATAGACTAGTATTTTGTTCAACATAAACCAGAGGCAATTTGGTAAAATCCATTATAACTAAAAATTTTATAAGAAAACAAACTAATTTTATTATTTGTTGTTGTAATAGATACTGTAAAGAATAACATGACTCGAACACAAAGTAGGAGTACATACAACTCCAAATACGGTGAAAAATGTTTAAAAAACTCCAATGTATTTTTGCATAAAGGGAGCAATTATGCTTGGTATTTAAATCTGCAAAGGTAGATCAAATTATTTTTCTTAATAAAGTTAGAAATATAAATAATTATTTAAATCTAATATATCTGAATTTTATACCAATTATAATATTAACCCGATCAACCCTTTCTACTCGGATATCGCTGCTACATATTATTATTGGAATTCGCGAGTGAAAAGGGTTAAGACTCAAAATTTTCTTAATAAAGTCATCAATATTATTATTTGTTGTTATAATAGACACTGTAAGGAATAACATATACAATTTACAATGTTGTAGTACAGACAGTGCGTCCTGAGGAGTCCTTTAAAAATGTAATTTAAGGATAGACTAGTAATTTGTTCTGTAAATACGAGACGCAAATTGATAAAGTATATTATACCTAAAAATTTTGCAAAAAACAAATTGATTTTATTATTTGTTGTTTTAATATAGACTCTAAGGAATAAAATGTCTAGAAGGCAAAGTTGTCATACGCCCTAAAAAAGGTTTAAACCACTCCAAGGTATGTTTTGCAAAAAGAGGGCATTTATGCTTAGTTTTTAAATTTATAAAGCGCACGAGGATTTATTTAGTAAATTAAAAAATTTTAAAATAAAGTTAGAAATATAAGTAATTATTTAAATTTATAAAATCTATAAAAATATATTGTAATTAAACCGGAAAACTGCTTACCGTTTTATACCGATTACAATATTATCGAGCCGCCGTCTACCTATCTATATATCCCCCGAACACGCACTTGCAAAACACATTATTTTATTCTAATTTTTTTTGAATTTACACTTTTAAATTACGCACTTGAACACGTTGAACCATTTATGACCAAATGACTTTTTAATACTCGTTTAATATAAAATTAATATTTATAAACAGATAGAACGGCTGCTTGTTTGTGATTGAATGAGACACCTTTACTATTAATACATTTATATAGGTTAGGACGCATGCGCTAACATTAGTAGAGGGGTGGAAAGGATATATATATATATATATATATATATATATATATATATATATATATATATAATATGTATATAGTATATTATAATATGATATACATTTAAGATTTCGTACAAACAAATAAGTATAGTTACTATAGTACGTAACAAATGCGTCGAGGATTTTTATGCCTCGTATAGAAATGCATACACCTTAATAAAATAATATATAAAATTTCTTCCGTTACAAAATAGTACCCATAAGTATTTTCAAAAATTAAAAAAAAGATTTAAAGTATCCCATACCTAATTTTCAGCATCCTACATGAATGGATTCCAATTATTGGACATTCAAAGGAACATATATTAAAATTAAATCCCTATAACCAATTTTTGTGGAATATTCTCCAAAATCTTTGTTAACTTCCCGTAGGGTTATAACTATATAAATAACTATAGTTATTGTAATCGTCCAAAAATCGAAATTGAAAATTTTTACATTTCTTCACGTTTTGAAGGTTTCTGAACATTTTGGCATACATCAAAAAAATGTGTGTGTGTGTATGTATGTATGGATACAATTTTTCATCCACGTTTTCGGGAGCACGGATCAACCGATTTCGAGATGTGCTGATTAGTTTTTGGCAAAGGCAGGTCCAGCCGTTTCGGAGATACGGAGCAAAAAGTGCAGAAAATATAAATAGAGATGGGAAGAAGAGGTGATTAGTTTTTGGAAGAGTCAAGTCCAGCCATTTCGGAGATACAGAGCTAAATGTGCAAAAAATGGCAGTTTTTGAGAGAACTAATCGTCCAATTTGAATGATTCAAAGAACTTTCTGCTTGTTTTAACAAAATAATTGCTTTTGAAAAAAAATATTTTATTTTTTTTTTCAGATTTTTTTTTGTATATTGAAAATAATTCATATTTTAATTTTAATTCTGACTAAAGATCTAATATACTTTAAACAAATAATTCCAACTTTGCAATTCAGTTTACATAATTTTCTTATAAATATATATTTACATGTTTTTAAATAGATTATTATAAATATTGTACATTGTCTAATTATTAGACAATGCACAATATTCATAATAATCTATTTAAAAACATTTAATATTCTCAAGCATTTCAGAGGTACAGAAAGTTCCAGTAATTTGCCTTAAGACACGATGCCATACACCACTAGTTAAAATTAAAAATTAGGTTTAAAGCATCACATACCTAATTTCCAGCATTCTATTATGAATGGATCCAATTATTGGGCATTCAAAGGCACATTGCAATATACAAGTATATTAAAATTAAAGACCTATAACAATTTTTGTGCAATATTCTCCAAAATCTTTGTTTAATATTTTGTCACTAAACAGCTTTTTTAACCATTTTTATAATATAAAACAAGGTTTAAAACATCACATACTCAAATTATACAGTTCTACTGAACAGATTTTAAAATCAAGAAACGATACAAGTGTTAAACTTAGAACACATATACAGAATTTTGTAAAACTATTTCAGTATTTGTTATTGTACTAAACACTTTAAAGCACATTATATTAACATCAATAGCACATTCTGCAAAACCACAATGCTTACAAAATGCATACATTCGAAAAAATAATCAAGTACTAAATAAATAAAATGTTTGTAACAACTGAAAATGTAGAAATAAGACAATATCTTGTTTTCATATCCATCTTATTTGTACTTTACATAAATATACACATTTATTATAATAAAATTTGAGAAAATATTAATATAAAATAACATAACAATAAAAAAGACAATGTTCTTGTTATCAATTATAAAATTCATAAATTACTGAAAGTTTACTAAAGAAGGATCAAACTCCGTCCCTTGAAAAGGAGACCCATCAGCATTCCAGGATTTTCTTAAAAGCTCCCTATTTCTTATATCCTCTGTAGTGGGCTTGCCCATACTTTTTTGTGCTTCGTTCCAAAACATTTCTTGCACTAAAGTCTGTGCGTCTTCAGAGAGCTCATCTAAGGGTCTTGAACAATTCATTTTACTTATATCCAAAGACGTGTCCGACTCCAACAACTTTTGCCACCATCGATCCTCCTTTTTTTGTAAATGTATCAATAGCCTACCATTCGAAAGCCACCACACAGATTCTGATGGTTTGCAATTGAAAGGGAAGTCTTCGTCAATGTAAGGTGTTGATTCATCTTTAAATTCTACTTTTAAATGTGCAGGTGTAATCAATACTTTTAACTGGCTACTTGATGTTATTGTCTCTGGCAAAGTTATGTATATGTCTATTTCATTTATCGATTGTGACCAGGTATATTTTTCTGTAACAGCACCGTTATAGGATTCGCTTGATGTGTTGTGTTTAAATTTTATGTCTGCACTCATGACCGGTTCTATGTCATCGCAGGATGATATTTCTATTTCATTATCGTATACTATGTCTGACTGGTGCAGATTTGTGTTGTAGATTTCATTTTTGTTTAAACAAATTTGCTCATCAGTGGACATAACCTCCTCTATATGATTTTTACTGTCAGAGTCAATAGTTTCGATATTATTCAAGTGGGCTTCATGATTATTAGTAATACAAATATTTTCAGGATGCCAAAGTCTTAGATATTGCATACAAACTTGTTCACAAACATTAATGTCTTCTTCGTAGAAATTTGTGCAACGATTAAGAAAACCAAACAGTGCATCAAAAAATGTATTAATATCATCGCCCTTTTGAAATATTTCAATAAATAAAGAGTCCGTTGAGCACGTCATGCCGTAAATAAATATATCAACAACAATTTTCACTTATAAAAAAAAACACAACATAAACGACACAAACTGACAAGCTGAAGCTGACAAGAAAATGTAAACACTACGAACGCTACGAAAGTATTGCCTGCTTCAAATTGTCATTAATAGATTAGTAAATAAAATTGGGATTTTAATAACAATGTATATTTATATTTATCTATATAATTATACTTATTAATACGTCAGTCACGTGTTTTACATTTATTAAATATAATAAAATATAATAATGTCGACTCGGTTCAACTCGAACTTTCTAGTTTCAAACAACAACTGTCAAACTACAAGTGTTGCCAGATTGCAATTTTGTGTCACTGCGTCAAAAATGCATGAGGCAACCCCACGATGAATTGACAGCAAAATGACAGTAGCAAAAAACCTGCTTTGATAACTAAATTTACAAGTTTAATATATACAAAATCCTAAAAAAAATCACGTAATGTCCCTCTATTTCACACTTCATAAATTATATATTTAACAATCTATTACACAATGGCGATTTAGGAGTCACTCAATGCTTCCAAATTCGATGTGCGATGGATATAACCTATGAAATATTGTTTGATCAGACTATGTAATGTTTCTAGAGATAACTTATAATGACTACGTTAGAAAATAGAGGTTCCCAGTGTACAGAATATGCTAACCCCGTGTCGGAGACACCGTCGAATGAGTCCCAACAAAGACATTGTTGGGTCTGTTTTGCTACCGAAGAGGATGATGCAAACGCAAACTGGGTACAGCCTTGCCATTGTAAAGGAACATCAAAATGGGTACATTATAACAAAATAATCTATATACATACATATAGTACTAAATATATAATCAATGTCCAGGTGCATCAATCTTGTTTACAACGATGGGTAGATGAAAAACAAAAAGACAACAGCTTTGGCAGAGTACATTGCCCACAATGCCAAACAGAGTACATAATAGTTTTTCCTCCAGGTATCACATTATTATATTTATCTTATATATATATATATATATATATATATATATAAATTCTTAACTGTTGCATTAGTTGGCATGATTGTACTTATTCTGGACGGAATAGAAATGTTGACAAAGAAGTTGAGTCCATTTCTAGCTGCAGGCATTGTTGTTGGATCAGTTTACTGGACTGCTGTGACATACGGAGCCATCACGGTGATGCAGGTATTTCCAATATCCATAAATCCATATCAGTCTAAGGCCCTTTGTGTTCAATTTGTTTACTGTGTTCCTATAGTTAAAAAGTTATGAAGGATATTTCAGATATATGCATAAATAAGCTAATCTCATGACTGTATATAGACTAATGTTTTCTAATCTAGGTAGTAGGACACAAAGAAGGAATGGCTTTGATGGAATTGCAAGATCCGTTGGTTTTATTGGTCGGTTTACCAGCTATTCCAATTGGTTTAGTTTTAGGTAAAATGCTCAGGTGGGAAGATTCTGTATTAACCTTTATAAGACGTAAAAGACATATTGTGAGAAAAATTCCCCTGCTTAGAAATATCCTGCCAACGTAAGAGAAATAGAATATATATATATATATATATATATATATATATATATATATATATCAATAAATACTTTTTTTAAGCGTTTTAATATTAATTTCTCTATTTCAAGGGAATCAGATTCAGTAGTGAATCTTGCTGAAAGTGACATTCCACCCTTATCAGACCCTGTCTCTGCTACTAGAGTCCTGTGTGGGGCACTAGTTCTACCAACAATAGCTGTCTTGGTTGGCAGAGTTTTATTTGAATCAATTGAAAGCAATTTCCAACGCACACTACTCGGTGGAGTAGCTTTTATAGCTTTTAAAGGAGTGTTGAAAATATTTCATAGACAACAATTAATTGTACGAAAGAGCAAACGTAAAATTATGGACTACACAGATGAAAATATTGCACAGTTTGGAAACAGAAGTCAATATGGGGGACTCAGTGCTAATAACTCGAGTGAAATGCTTTAAGGGATAACGATAATAGATTTATTTGAATTGCACTGATAGGAATAGATATACAAATGAATATGCTATATTGTTATGAGATGGCTTGTATTTTATAAATATTTTTTCTAAATCCATTGTTAATAGATTAGTTAAAGAAACTCATTCGACACTATCTATATCTATATATAGATGAAATAGTAACTAGTTTTTCAAATAAAATTAAGTTTAAGATAATTCTGTGAAACATTCAAAGATGTAAATAAATAAACTAAAAAATAGTGTACATAATGTAAATAAAAGCTATTACTTTTAATTTCTGTAAGTCATTCCAATCCTATTATATTTAGGTTGCTATTAGATCTCTTGTAACTTTTCAAATGTGTGTCTAATACTAATGAAACTTTCAACAAATTTGTATAAAATTAAACATTGTTTATTGTTTTCTATCATCATAAAAGCTCAAGAACCAATCATTTAAAAGAATTAAAATGATTGATCAGACTAATCTCAAAATTTGATTGATAAATTCTTTTTTCAATTAAGTTCTTTAATTTTTCCTAACAAAACTAAATCTTTTACTAAATAAGTATACTCTTACCAAAATTCCAAACATACACATTTTTGGAGTAATTTAAAAAATAACTAGTTGGTTTGGTATTTAGCCTTGAGGCAAATTACATGAACTTCCCGATATGTGTAAATAATCGACTTGATCAAAAAAATGTGTAAATAATATACTTCATCAATCCTACTTTAAAAAAAAACGATAATAATTTTAGCAAAGTTTGACGAATTTTTAAAATTAAACTACTTGTTGTAAGGCCGTAATATTACAGTAAGTTCTATAAGACCATGATGTATATCGCCAAAAAAAGTTCCATGAAAAACGGCTTAAATTTTTTTTTCAACAGTTAATTACAAGAAAACGGCTCGGTAGATTTTCACCTAAAATTAATCAGTACCATTCCCAAATGATATCTTTCGAACAGTTTTTGATTTTTCAAAATCGGTTCGGTAGGATGAGCTTAAATGTGGACGAAAGTTTAACACTTTTTTTCAACATTTAATTACAAGAAAACGGCTCGGTAGATTTTCACATAAAATTAATCAGCATCATTCCCAAATGATATCTTTCGAACAGTTTTTGATTTTACAAAATCGGTTCGGTAGGATGAGCTTAAATGTGGACGAAAATTTAACACTTTTTTTCAACAGTTAATTACAAGAAAACGGCTCGGTAGATTTTCACATAAAATTAATCAGCATCATTCCCAAATGATATCTTTCGAACAGTTTTTGATTTTTCAAAATCGGTTCGGTAGGATGAGCTTAAATGTGGACGAAAATTTAACACTTTTTTTCAACAGTTAATTACAAGAAAACGGCTCGGTAGATTTTCACATAAAATTAATCAGCATCATTCCCAAATGATATCTTTCGAACAGTTTTTGATTTTTCAAAATCGGTTCGGTAGGATGAGCTCAAATGTGGACGAAAATTTAACACTTTTTTTCAACATTTAATTACAAGAAAACGGCTCGGTAGATTTTCACCTAAAATTAATCAGTACCATTCCCAAATGATATCTTTCGAACAGTTTTTGATTTTTCAAAATCGGTTCGGTAGGATGAGCTCAAATGTGGACGAAAATTTAACACTTTTTTTCAACATTTAATAACAAGAAAACGGCTCGGTAGATTTTCACCTAAAATTAATCAGTACCATTCCCAAATGATATCTTTCGAACAGTTTTTGATTTTTCAAAATCGGTTCGGTAGGATGAGCTTAAATGTGGATGAAAGTTTAACACTTTTTTTCAACATTTAATTACAAGAAAACGGCTCGGTAGATTTTCACATAAAATTAATCAGCATCATTCCCAAATGATATCTTTCGAACAGTTTTTGATTTTTCAAAATCGGTTCGGTAGGATGAGCTTAAATGTGGACGAAAATTTAACACTTTTTTTCAACAGTTAATTACAAGAAAACGGCTCGGTAGATTTTCACCTAAAATTAATCAGCATCATTCCCAACTAATATCTTTCGAACAGTTTTTGATTTTTTAAAATCGGTTCGGTAGAATGAGCTTAAATGTGGACGAAAAGTTCAACACTTTTTTTCAAATTACAAAGAAACGGCTTGGCAGATCGTTGCACAAAACTGACAAACGATAGTTCTCACCGAAATACATCAAATGGCTTTTAAATTTCCAAAATCGGTTCAGGCGTTTTTGAGAAAACGTCGATCAAAAGTCTAATTTTGACAAATGCCAAAAAGACCATACTGATTTTTGCAAACTTTGACGAATTTTTAAAGCTGAACCAGTTGTCGTAGGGCCGTAATATTTTAGTATGACCTAGAAAACTATGGTATCTATCGTCAAAAAAATAATCATAAAAATCGTCAAATTTTTTTTTTAAAAAACTTTATTACAAGAAAACGGCCCGGCCGATCTTTACCAAAAACTAATCAGCACGATTCCCAACCAATATCTATCGAACGGTTTTTGAATTTTCAGAATCGATTCAGAATTGCGGGCTAAAACGTGGACGAAAAATTTTCCACTTTTCTGCAATTTACAAAGAAACGGCCGGGCCGATCGCCGCACAAAACTCAGAGACGATAGTCCTCATCGAGATACATCAAATGGCTTTTAAATTTTTGAAATCGGTCCAACCGTTTTGGAGAAAACGTCGATTTACGGCAAAAAATCTGTTCACACACACACACACACACATACACACACACACACACACACACACACACACTTTTTCCAAATTTGGTCTCATTCGATTCAGAATGGCTTGAAACGTCGAGAAAACATAAAATTAGCGAATCGGATTTTTTGATGAAAACATAAACTTCTCCTTCGGGAAGTTAAAAATATATTTATTTATTTACATCTTTAATGACAATATATAAAAAATAAATGCTCTTGAATAAAATACAATTATAAAATATTATAGTATGAATATATACAAATCTACTCACATAAAGTGAAAATCCAACACATAATAAAAAAACAATCAACTTTAACAACAAATATAGTCAACCATGTATCCTATTGACAAATTACATCAATAGAAAAAAAAATGGCACTATTCAACTATGGCAAGTTGAATTATATGTTCTATTTACATTTTTATATCTAAGAATCAAAAAGTGATACATGTCAATGCTTGGAAAAATCATAAACATAAAAAGGTTTTTGCGCACATAATATACTAAATATATTAAAATTTTTGTAAATTGTATTGTTATTTAAAATATTTTATGTTATAATTTGAAACCCAGAAAAATAATAGTAAGAAACTAGAACAAAAATAAGGTTACAATTTAATACATTTTGATCATGGTAAATTTTGATTAATAACCAACAAATATTTTTGTGTATAATAAGTAAAAACATGTATCACAAACAAAAACTTACATTTATATTTACAATATATGATATATTCAATTCCCAAATCTACCTCGCCGAATCTAAAACTCTTTGTACTATATTCCTCAGCATTTGTGGTTTGCAGTATTCTTCTAACCACATTATGACACCAGCTGACAACTCTGAGAAATTAGCAAAAGAAATCATACAAAATGATTTAAACAGTTGCTCAATTATTGCCTTGAACTAAAAGAAAATAATTAAAAGTAATACAGAAACCTTGGGAAAAAGAATCTAATACAACATACCACTTGCAATTTATCTTCATCTGTTAATCGACTTTGGATGATATTCTCACCAGGCTTATTAATTTGTTGAGCCTTTACGAGTTGCTCATAACTAGATTGTACAATCCTCAAAGCCTCCACTTCTTTTCTCAAACTGTTTCTGTCATCTTCCAATTTCTTTTTTTGTGTATGAAGATATTGGATGTAATCTATTGACTTCTGTAGAACCTACAAATTCTTTAATTAATGCATGTCGGCTCCTACATAATAGGAGAAATGTTACAGGTTATTATATTGCACAATTGTATTTACAAATACAATATTTAAATTGTATTAATGATTCACTGGTTATAATATTACAGTGGTGAACATACAGTTGCTTTACTAAGTTTATATCCGGCCTCACTCTGTTGTTTCATAGGCACTAACTCTTGCAAGGAATCATATCCTTTTTTAATAGCATCTCTTCTTTTTTGTTCAGCCTGTGTATGAGCCTCGCGTCTTCGTTCCTTGTATGTCAAGACACAAGCTGTACGAGCATTTGAATCACTATCTTCTTCATCTGATGGAATATATAGAAATGAAACTTTGGGCTCTTAGAAGTAATAATATATAATACAATTGTTTGTTATAATTGAGTTTATTTCTAAAACTGACCTGAATTATGAGGTGAAGACGTTGGTGTATGTAAGGAACCGGTACTGCTGCATCTTGAAGAAAATTTTTCTCTATCGTTAGGACTAGAAGGCTCCAATTTCATATCACTTTCTGATGCAGTTGTTCTAAACCGACTTCCTAAATGATATAATCATTTTTATACGTATGTAAAACTTGAGATACATATAATAAAAAAATACTCAGTTTACACTATATTTTATATTAACAATATATTAAATTTTATTCAATCTAGATATATTTTGTATACGTAACAGTTTTCTTACTTTTATCCAGCCGATCATAATAAGATTCTGCCATATTTATTTTGTTAAACAATCAACAATAAATAAGCATTTTATTTATGTTCATTATCAAGTTTTAGCATAAATGTTTATATCAAAAATATTAAATAAAAATAACATTCTTATTTAGATAACGTCAAAAGAAACATTTGACATTGCATTGATAAGAACAGTAACAGTACTAGTTGTCAGCGACAGATGACTCGAGGATATAAATAGTATTATAAAAATTTGTCATAAATTTATTGTAAAACAAGTAATAATTAAGAATTCAATTTGATTTTGCTTTTTACTTCGTTGCAACATGTTTAATTGTGTAATTACGATATATTTAAGTCTTTATTTATAAAAAATCATTTGCGCAATTTCTATCGTTTCCATATTCTTATAACAGATGTCCTACCAGTAGCCCAGCACTTTTCTTCTGACATCTGACATTACAAACATTTGCATTTAATTTTTAGGTTTACTTTCGTATAAATAAATATAAAATGACTACAGATATAAAAGTTGGATCTCTAGAGGAAGAAGCTTTAAAACGTAAAGAACGTTTACGTGCTCTCAAAAGAAAAACAGATCAAGAATCTAGCAGTGCAAATAATTCATCAATCAGTGAAAGCTTACCTAAGTAATTTCAAGCAAATAAAATCTAATTTATATATATATATATATATATATATATATATATATATACATACAATTACAACAATTACCTTTTACCCCTAGGCCCATTTTCCGGAGTTACAAGCCCCAAGATGAGCAGCTACAAGAAAACACAATACCTGATACTAAACCTTGTGATATCGAAAGCGAAGTCCAAGAACAATTGGAGTCTGCAAAGACTGCTCAAACTTTAATAGAAGACTTAGATATAACTAATCTAGCACCTAGGAAACCTGATTGGGACTTGAAAAGGGATATTGCAAAAAAATTAGACAAGTAAGTTAAATAAGTATTTTTAAACTCATCTATTTATTATGATTTAATAACTTTGTATTCATTTATTTTACTCACAATATTTCAATGTAATATTTGTTAATTAATTAAAAAAATGTTATTTTATATTTTTATAATTGTAGACTTGAGCGAAGAACACAGAGGGCTATAGCAGAACTGATTAGAGAAAGATTAAAATCAGGAAAAGAAGATTTATCAACAATTGTGAATGTGGCTGCTATAACAAATGATAAAGCAGCGGACGTAGATGAAGAATAAATAAAACTTGTTTTAATAAATTGCGGAATAAATCTAAAATATTTTATTGTAAGATTTTTTAATTAAATGTAGAATAAATATAATTATCACTTTGAAATAAAATATTTTATTGCATCAACTATATTAAACAAATGTTGTTATCCAAACTTATCTTAGATAACATCATTTGTTTATGGTAACCTTATTTTCTTAAAAACAGACGTATACCACATATAACCTGTGAATGCACTCAATCCAAACCATGTAAAAATATAAGAAGTGTGCTCGTTCCTTAATGTGACTCGTGTTTGATTCGGTATAGGTTTATCAGGATCATAAAGTATTTGATCAGAGGACTCTCTGACATCCAAAAATACCGGTAATGTTGATCCTGTCAACTCAGCTATATAAGGCACATTCCTGGGATAAAAGATGATGTTATAAACATGATAAAAATTAAAAATGATATTACAAATACCTGTACAAAAGCGTGCCTCCAGATTGTTGTCTAGGAGCAAACACAGATCTGTCTTCAGTATGTCTTACAACACCAATTAATGTTACTGGCTCATTGTTTTGAGAACTTTCTTTCTCAGCATCGTTCTGTATGACTTTTCTTTTATTTGCTGGTATCCAGCCTCGATTAACCATAATAGTACCACTGTAATAATAAATAATTAAATAAATTATATATATGCATATATATATATAATACTCAACTCACTCTCTGTCCAATAGTTTAAAAGGTGTAATAACATGAAATCCTGTACCAGAATGTTTACCCCCTTGGCTCAAAAGTCCGCCTTTAGAGGAATCACCATCAACAATTAATGATCTTGGTCCCATAAGAACACTCTTTTCTGGTACATAATGACCACGGACAATCACCGGATGATATTCCATATTCGTTAGATAAGATATACTATAATACTTGACAAATAAATACTTTACATATTAAGTATTCTATATATAACTTACTCATCTGGTAGTGGTATAGGTTTCAAAGTAGTTCTAGCTTTTAAATCAGCAATTAAGTCTTCTTTCCATCGACGTCTCTTGACTTGCCAGCATCCGAGAGCAAATGAAGATATAGGTACTACCTGCAGTAATAAAATGATATTTAATAATGTTGAAATAATCAGTATGAATAATAATCATTACAAACCAATAAACACCAACCAAAAGGTGTTATTTTATTATCTGGTTTCTTTTCATTGAACTTTAATTTATGTTTAAATGATAAAAATCTAATAGAATTCGTATAGGATATATTTTTACATGAATTAAAACGTAGTACATATCTGGTGTTTGAGATCATGATTTTAATTATTGTAAATATAGTTAAATAAATTGTAATTGAAAGCTCGTTTTATGTATTTTTGTTATTCTAGTTTATTTCCTATTTATTTGGTTATGAAGAAAATTTTGTGCAACTGTCAAATTGACACTGAACTGTCAATTAAAAAACCGTTTAATTCAAATTCTGATAATTGCAATTCATTTGTTAAAAAATTGTATTTATAATCAGTTTTTTAATAAAATTGAGATATTTGATATCAATATATATTAGTTAGTATACGTTTATTATCTGAGATATTTATTTAGCTATGAATATACAAATACATATAGCTTTATTTTAAATTTTTTATTTATGTCTTAAATATTGCCTAATTATTTCAATTTTTCACAAGTTTTTGTATTAATTACTACTATAATGAGAAAGTACTAGGACAATATCGAGATATGCTTATATATCTATAAAAAAATTGATAAAATAATTTATATATTATTATTCATATTAATTATAGAATGTATTACATTGTACTAATGTTTAGTACTATAGTACTATAGTAATTTTAAAATTACCCCAAATATTTTTGAGGATACATTAATTTTAGTATTTATTTTGTTACCAAACATTAATTAATAATATTGTAATATTAATACAATATTAATTATTTAAAGTAATTTAAATGATTAGTCTTGTCATATAATTAATTATATGACAAGAGAAATCATTTAAAGTACTTTAAATAATTAATATTGTATTAATATTATAATTTTTTTTTTTTAATAGTACTGTTTCGTTGGGAAAATTCAAATTATTACATGTTATACTATGATGTCTATACATCACAATAAAGACAAAATTAGCATCTTTTTACAATTATTTGAAATAAAAACATAATATATTGGAAAAGTACCTCGCCCTTATCCAGACAGAAACTTAAATCAAGAGAACTCTTATAAGAATATTATTAAATTATTTATTTTAATTGTGGAATGTTTAAATTCTATTATTATGATATGCTTGTTTATATATCTATTATAATAACAAATAATAAAGTATTCTCCTATAAATATTTGAAATATGTACAATTACTTATATAAAAAATTACCAAATAAGTTTACCTTATTGCATCTACCCAACATTTTTTTCTGTTATCTCGTGTGCATAGAAAGAAATTCCAATTTGTTCGGTTCTTTATTTTCTCCAAATTTCAACATTAGTTTCTGTTTATTTTATTTATTTATATTAATCCATTGATCCATTTATCGTACTCTAATGGATCAATCATTATCTTGACATACGGGATTAAAAATATTAAGCCTGAAAATTAATCAAATCAAATCAAATCATATGAAATTTTGTTATTTACTATTTGTGCGTAGAGACAGAATAAATACTTTCACAAACACACTGATATATATGTATATATATATATATATATATATATATATATATATATATATAGAAAATATATATAAAAATATATATTTTAACACATTGTTGAAACTTTATCCTAGGGCTTTATATTATTAGGCAATGTTATAGTTGATTTAAATGTATGTATAATTTGTATAATTTGTATATATATATATATATATATATATTATATATATAATATTATATACATATATTACATATTTATCATATTAAACTATTTAATTACATTCTTATCTTTTGTGTAATTTACTAATAATCCCTTTTATGGTTTTCGTTCAATCGTACCGCCTTTGATAAAATAAAGTAGAATTTAGTAATGTTCTATTTATATTATTTATAGTTATTTTCTTAATCCCTAGATCATTTCACAAAGTTCAACAATGCACTCCAATATCATTAATATATAAATATAATACATACTTTATATATATATATATATATATATATATATATATATATATATTCACTAGTCATCCGTTAGGAATTTCAGGTTTTTCTGTTTCCGAATTTTCAGGAAATTTTACAGGGGGTCACTTGGCTACTATTTTTCGACCTTCAAATGAACGTATTTCAAAAATAAATTAATTACATTGAACTTGATAAATAAATAAATTTATAAATAAATTATCAATTATAATAAATAATCAATTTTATTTATGTCAAAAATAATTATTTCACATGTATTACGTTCTTCTTATATATCACATTTTTCGTTATTCTTACGGTTGACGAAAGACAATAAAAGATTTTACATTGAATTTAGCAAGAAACAAAATAATAAAAAAACTTTGAAAATCAAATATAAAACCTTTTCTACTAAAATCAGAATTATATAGAGCAAGGCTTCTTAAACTTTTGTCCCGTCGGGACTCCATTTATGACTGCGATCTTCCTGGCTGACAAATATAAAAAAATAAATTAATATTTTTAAATAATTTATAAATTTATTTATAGTTTAAGAATTCGTTGAATACATACAAAACATCATACATATAAAAATCGACCCCATTTGAGGTCGCGACCCATAGTTTAAGAAACCCTGATATAGAGGTCTCCAGGACGTACCGCTTGTGCTACAAAACCCCTCACAAGTATATAGTAAAAATACAAGTGCCGATGATGGCAAAAATGGCAAAAGCCTAAAATTAAATCACAATAATGTCTACCTTACTATCAGTTCGACCCTGTGTGTGACAGATTTTTTTCCTACAATCACGACGGCAAGGAGATTATCAATTAATCCCTAAAGAACACTGAATTACATTTTGTTTCGTTGTAAAGCAAAAAAAAAAAAAATCAATGACGATAATAATAAATTTCCGATAAGACAAAACCAATCGGTTGCTCTTTAGGCTTTGATCATAAACGTTTTAGAATCGTCATTGATAAAAGGTCGAAACTTGAATAGAACTTAATTCTGGTACTACTTTCAGTAATCCTGATAACTTAAAATCTGGTGAGTTGTAATCTACCTTGGTCTAAGTGCTTATTTGTTTCTTTCGAAATGAACAAGATATTGCTCTGGTTCATCCTGGCGTTGTCAGGTGTCCTGGTTAACGCATATGCTGTGACATATAATGAAACTGCGCATCCTGATACGTTGCCTGTTAAATCGTTCAAGGAGATCTACGATGGCTTGGAAAGCGATGGTGAGTACATGAGTTGTTAAGGTACGGGACTTTTGATATTAGACTAAATAAATCATTTAAATATCTAACAATAAGAATAAATATTATAAAATCACATTATTCATATCAAGTGAAGATGTTTAATAGTTACAACAGATATAAGTCAAAATGCCCACCTAAACGACTTCCACCTTAATCGGCAGTCTCGTACTTTCTAAAGCAAATTTAAGGTAGGAAGAGTGGCTGCAGATCGCTATAAAATTACTTATTCTTGCAGATAATTAAATTTTATACAACTTGGCTAAACTTATCACTCATGTCAACTGAGTAGTTTAAAAGCTACAATAACAATACTAAAAAAATCCACAAATTATGATAATTTCTTTAGTTCACTTGCTAGTGCGTTTCAAAGTATACCGCAGATTATTTAAGCATTAGACTATATATCGATAATTTAATTTTGTGTTTTTGGCATTTTCGAAAAACAACATTCAGATCAACTGAATAATTTAAAAATTGCAAGATATTTAATTAAAATGCATCATACCTTTACCTTCTCTAGAAGAACGCTCCTACTTCCTTCTGTTCGAGTTGGCTCGCGGCTTCAGCATTATGGAAAGCAAATTTCCTTTGGGATTCTATCCCATAACAAGGGCCAGATGTCACACTGGACTTAGAGTCCCCGACGACCTCGACATACCTAAGGAATTATCCGATAAATTTTTGGTATGTAAAAATTGAACTTTCCCTTCTCGACTAATATAAATCCAGTCCAAATTTACCTATTGAGGATACTTATCTAATTATCTAGGCCTTCGGTGTATCAGAAAGCGAATCTGAGTCTCTCTACCGTTGGGTGGCCAACAGTTTCAAGATTCACGTAGAGCGCCGCGTCAAGTTGCGCCAGAACGTCGTCTGCTTCCCCAACGGCGCCTGCATCGACCTGGACGACGTGGGCAGCCACTGTTGCCCCTTCTGAAAATGGAAATTGAATTATTTTTTAATATAATCGAATTTATATCAATTGTAGAAAGGGTTCGTGAAACTAGTGGTGAGCCTCAAGAAAATATTACATATATTTGTAATGATAATTGAATATGTATATATTATAATAAACATGTTGAAACCCTGATTGGTTTATTTTGATTTATAAATATTTTATCTTCAATTATAACTCTTCAGGTATAACTTCTGATAAGTTCTGGCAAATACAAAATTGAATATTGATCTAGGTTACAATAAAAGGACTCTACTAAAAGCAATATTTGTCCCCGGATTTTCAAAAAATATAGGTCTAAATAAAATCTTTGCTCTAACTTGATAATAAAATTACAAAATCAAATATTTGAAAATGCTATTTACAATTATGCTTAAATAAGGGGGCGTCCATTAATCACCTGAGGTTTTTAGGGGGAGGAAGAGTTTAAAGAAAAATCACGAAATATCACGTGGTGGGTGAAGGGTATAGTAAGATATCACGTGTATTTATTTTTTAACTGATTTTAAAAAAAATCTAACATTTTCAAAAAAATCAAAATTTTTACAGTTTTATCACGTAACTAAAAATACACGTAATGTTTGGTGGGGGAGGGGGGAGTTAATTTTGAATATCATCATGTATCACCAAGGGGGAGGGGAGGTCCAAAAATCCTGAAAAACTCGCTCACGTGATTAATGGACGCACCCTCAGGTATAACTTCTAATAAGTTCTGGCAAAAATAAAATTTGGATATTGATCTAGGATATAATAAAAGGACTCTACTAAATACCTGAATAAATTTCTACTTGAATATAGATTATAAGACTATGAAAATAAGGTGACCATACGTTCCGGTTTGGCCGGAACAGTCCAGCATTTCCACCTTGTGACCCGAGTTTTTCTAAAAGCAATATTTGTCTCGGATTTTCGAAAAATATAGGTTTAAATTAAATCTTTGATCTAACTTAAAATTAAAATTACATCTACCCATCAAATATTTGAAAATGCTATTTACAATTATGCTTATATAAGGAGGCGTCCATTAATCACCTGAGTTTTTTAGGGGAAAGGGGGTTTTGAAAAAAAATCACGAAATATCACGTGAGAGAGGTAGGGGTATAGTAAAATGTGTGTGTACTTATTTTTTAACTGATTTTTTTTAAAAAAATCAAACATTTTCAAAAAAATCAAAATCTTACAGTTTTATCACGTATGTAACTAAAAATACACGTGATGTTTGGTGGGGAAAAAGAGGTAATTTTGAATATCCATGTATCACCAAGGTGGAGGGAAGGTCCAAAAATCCTTAAAAGCTCGCTCACGTGATTAATGAATTAATCCCTAAGAAGACAAGTTAAAATAGCCAATATCACGAAAGTTAACAAAAATTATGAAAATGAACTTCTTGACAGCCTAGAATAATTGCTAAATATTTTTAAATTGTTATGAAAAAAATTGAACAAAATTTAATAATAAGTTTGAAAGCTAAAAAAACATATAGATCCAAAAATATAAGATAAAATATAACATATAACTTGAATTCAAATGAGTAATTTTTTTTTAAGAGACAGATTTTTATTGCATTCTTAAATTCAAATCCATGCGCCCGAAAACGTGGACGAAAAATTGTATTCATAATACATACACACACATCCATTTTTTCTGAGGTATGACAAAATGTCCAGAAACCTAAAAAACGTGAAGAAATGTAAAAAAATTTCAATTTCGATTTTTGAACGATTACAACGACTTACTCTACGGGAAGTTGAAAAATATGGTCGCCTTAATGAAAAATACCTGCGAGTTTAGATATGTATTGGAAAAGAAGTACCACAATGTGCTATAGGCTTGTGCAAAATGGAGAAACTACAGGAAACTGCAAGCCGGAGCATCAAAGTAGAAGTTCGGCTAGTAAAAAGTGAACCGTAAACAAAGAAGAAAAAAAGGTAAAAATAATAATTCTAATAACATATCATCATCATCTCTAACCAGCATCACGATTAATGGAACCCTATATCTTTACACCTTTTTCTAAATCAGTCTAATACCTATCCCTCCTCTCTTGTGTCCCCCCAGTGTCACGTACTGGTGGGGGCCGCAGCCGCCGCCGAGCGTGGGTGCTCCTCTCATCTCTCGGTCACTTCAGTTCAAGTTTAACGTTAGGCCGGTAAGGTTGCCGTCGTGAATAAATGGGGAAAACCTAATTTGTGTTAAAACTAAAAATAATTGATTGGTGAAGATATATTGATTGGTTTGAATTGAGGGTTTTTGGATTTGTGGACGTTTGAGAGTGTTCGTTTTTTGTTGGACAGAGTGGTGGTAAAGGACATGTGGATGATTATTTAGATGACAGGTAATTGTTAAAAAATATTGAATTATATATATATATATGTATATATACCATAAAAATAATAATAAATTCTAGAGAGTCAATTACTTGTTTTGCAAACAGTGCGGCCTACAGAACTCTTTCAATATAAACAATGTAATTCTTAAGTATAACACACAATTGCGACTTTTTATAAGTTTTTGTTAGAAGAGTTATGAGTTTTATTATTTGTTGTTATAACTATTGGGACAGGTATTAGCACTTTGAGGATATATTAATATTGCAAAATTGTAACACAAACATTTTGTACAGCGCATTAAAAATGCCATCTCCACTCACATGGGTAGGGTACAATTTGATCTAATGTTTTATAACTCAAAATTTTGTGAGAAAAGCTATCAATGTTAGTAATTATAACAATAATAGGTACTTTAATGTATGACAAATTCACAAAACAAGACAATAGTGTAGTGTATATTGTGTCCTTTGGAGCTCTTGAAATTTGTCATATGTCAGTATTGTTTGCATACATTTAGATATGTATTCATCTTGATAAAATCTATATAACTCAAAACTTTGTTAAAAAACCTATCAGTTTTATTATCCGTAGTTATAGTAGATACTTAAACGTTAATATATCCAAATTGCAAGCTTGTAGAACAATCGGTGCATTTTGTAGAGCTAATTAAAATGGCTTTTTAAATTTTGTGCTATATTCATCCATTGGCGTTGAGCACAATTTGATAAAATCTCTTATACCACAAAATTTAGCAAGAACCTACCAGTTCTAATATTTGTTACTATAACAAACATTTTGAGGTAAGACTCACTCAAATTGCAGGGTTTAGTACAAACTTTTTATACTGTAAAGCTCATCCAGAACATCATCACAGAATAGCCTGATATCCACTTATAAATTGTGATTGAATCTCTTGTGACCCCATCAATTTTAGTATTTGCTATCATCATAGTCACTTTGAAAAACCATATATTCAATAGTCAATTTTGTAGTATAAACGATGTGACCATACCAGGATAAGATCTATTTCTATCTTGTAAGAAGTAATCAATTGCAATGCAATTGTAATTTTTTTATGCAAAAACCTTTTTTTTCTCCACGATCTTCTCTTCCAAGTTATTTTATAACGAGGTCGTCCACGGTCACAATCTGTGACAGTAGAATAGAAGAAGAATGTACAACTAGGTTGATGCTGATGATGTTACATGCATATTTGAATCATATTCCACAAAAAATATTGCAGGATAAAAAACATCAGATGATAATTATGGATGTTGATTAACCCCAAATCTGGTTCTAGATTTAATTCAGGAGTTGTGCATAAAATTCAGTTGCCTTCTACTAACCTCATCCTGATATTTGTTGCTCAATTTGGATTTTTTATACAGATCATTCCAGTTTGAAATTTTTTAGCCTAGAATAAAACAAGTGTTCCGAATTGTATTTTTTAGAACGGGTCAATTCCAAAAAACCGGTAATGTCTGTGTGAAATCATGACCATAAAAAAAGCAAACAAGTAAAACAAACGACTAAAAGTAGATGGAACGAATAGCAAAAGTAGAATATCGGAGCAAAGATCGGTATTTGTAAATATTAAATCAAGGAAGGTTTAACACTTTTTCTTTATCTATACACTACTAGTTTTTTACGTAAATTCCGCATTCAGAATAATATTTGGAGCACATTTGTTTCCGATGCGTGATACTGTACATAGTCGAGTACAATGGAAAAGCGCTGGACCATATTATTTTAAATTCCATGGACATGGAATTATTCACACACATACATAGACAAACACACACAAATTTGAAAAAAATACATTAAAACATATACTGTTAGTGTAATAACATAAAAGTGTCGTTATCATGAACAGTAAACTGTATACACAAAAATTGATGAGAATAGTATAACTCAAAATTTTGAGAAAAGTCGCTTGAATTTTATTACTTGTTTCTGTAACAGACAAATTGAAGAATGGTATCAGAATAACCCGATTCTTCTTTTTAACAAATTAAATAATAATTTTAATTATGTATGGAACACAATTAGAAAAAAAACCTTTATAAATCAACCTTTTCTTCAGAAAACTATTCAATTTTAGAATTTGCAGTTATAGGAGATACTTTGAAGATTGCATTGTCCGAATTTCAATATTGTAATACAAACGATGCGCCCTGTACAGCTCCTTGAAATTAATTATCTGGAACATATTTCATCCATAAAATTAGCATTTATACTCGCCCTTATAAACGGTGAATATTTCGATAAAATCTTTATAATTAAAAACCTATAAGTTTGACTATTAGTGGTTTTAAACTACTCTTTGAGAAATGGTATATTTAATTTTCAAGCTGTTAGTACAAATGAAAATTCCTACAAAGCTCTTTGGAAAATCCTACTCATACTGTGTTGATTTATTTGTACCAAAACAATAAAGAAAATCTATATATCGCATTGCTTCACAACTATTTTGAAAATTGGGTGTTTTCATATAAAAGTGTCTATTATAACGAAAAATAATTAAATTTACAAGTCTTTTATTAAAACTTTATAATTATAAGTTATATAAGAATTTTCAAAACTATGCACATGGTTATGCTACACGTGCAATGGATTTTGTTAAAAAATCAGTATGTTGATGGACATAAGTATGCTTTCAATAAGCTCAGCAGGACGCACTACTTGTATAGGTGTAAAATTTCTAAAATTGGATTTTCCTGAAAATTGATATAATCAAATATGGGTTTTCTCATAAATTCTGCTTCTATCCTGAAATATTTCTTGTACGGAGCCTTTTGCCAAACGATTATATTTCTTACACCTTAATGTGCAAAAAATTGTATTTTCATAACAATATTCTCGCAATAATGTTAATAATTTATTATGAATAATGCGAACATCTATTTTTCTCGCGCAAAGCAAAAGCTTTCACAATTAATTATCGATGCACAACGGTGGCGCGACCTTGTTGTTGTTTTAGAAATTTGTTGTTTTCATCGTTGTGGAAAATTGATTCGATTATAAATTAAATGTAATCTAGTTTAAATAAAATAGATTATTGGATATTATTACAACTATTTATGGGAATTTTATCCGTCGAAGAAAAGACGTGACTGCTTTGACCTAAAACAAAACTGCGACGAGAAAACTCAATTTTTGCTATTTTTTGTTCATTTTGTTCATTATATCATTTTAAAGAAAAATTTATTCAATTTTAACCGACGGGCAAATAAAACTCAATATTCTTAGACAAAATTACGTTATTGAAGTTTTACATTGGCAAAATAAGCAATTTAAATGGTTTATTGCTTTTGTCCATACTCTATGTTTAAGGGCTAATAAAATTTGTATGTAATTTTTTAAATAATTTTAATCACTCCATTTTTTACCAAATTTTATCTGGATTTTATTTCTCTACTACCTAAATTAGTCGCTTGTGAAAATAGTGAGACCACCTTCTGACTCAATTAGTTAAATTTGAAAACCTGAAAAATGGCGCAAAACAATTTCATTGCCCAAATAGTGAGGCTTTCAGTTACAAATTTGGCAGCAACAATAGATACTTTTTTAATCAAATTTCATATCAAGACACTAACTGAAACATGTATTTCTGTCGTTAAAAACTTACATTAATAATGAAAAAAAGGTTTCCCGTTCAGAATAAAAATTTAAACTACTTAATGAGCTCAAGAAAATATTTTTTATCATCAATCAGCAATAATTTACAAAAACAATTGCGTGCCAGTAATTGGGTCATAAAATATAAATAATTGTTTCGCTAATTTAATTATTGCTCTTATGCAAAAAACTGGGTTAAATAATACAAAACAAGTGCACAATATTAAAGCAAACATAATTACAAAAAACTGAATTAATAAAATCTACCTAAATTAAATCGTGTTTACATCATAGTGCGAAATATGGCTGATATACTTTTTCAAAGAGCTTTACAGGATGTACTGTTTTTACTATGATTTTGTAATTTGAACATCTTATTCCTTAAATATTCTATTATGATAATAAAAAATAAAATCATAAGGGTTTCGGCAAAAGTTAGAGTTATAAATTTTTTATCAGTGGTAAGAAAGTGGTATGGGTTGATTTAGCATTGACAAATTGGAATGCAATTCTACTGACAAGCAAAATGCAATAAGAGTACAAAATTATTCATATGTATATATATATATATATATATATATATATATATATTATAATTTTAGAAATCGCGTTCTAAATCTCACTTTACGATGAGAATATTTTTATTTTATTTATGTTTCCATTCAAATCAAATATATAATTATATTGCGTGTACCATTGAAAGTGATCGCGTTATGTGAAATTATTTAAAAAAATTTAAACATAAACAAAACGATTATAACATCATAACACGCTAGAAAATATTATAACAATAATTAATTATAGTAATTAAAAGCGAATACTTAATAATAAATTCAACCATGGATAATAATAATAATAAGAATATAAGACCAAACTTGATTTCTTATGATCTCTAAGACTCTATTGACGGACTCTACTGAATTTCAGATCGTGAATGAATCTGGTAAAATCTTTCATTCTAAGAACACACTGGAGATCAGAGACACGGATACAAAATACAAAACACACAGTAAAGTTCATATTAGTATTCAATTTTTACGGATCGTATGGACAAGTATAAAAGTCAATAGAATTAGTCCTTATATTATAGTTATTGTTTCTATTATTTTAGATTGCATGTCAGTAGATTTGTTTTCGAATATTGGTCAGAGATTTAAAAGAATTTTACTCTCTACGAATTAGAGATAATAATAATAAATGGTAGTCAGCCCGAAGGCAAGTCCATGGTGTGAGAGCTCTTTGTGGTCGTCCATTCCCATTGCCACTATTACCCGTGTAAGTCGTCAATCGTCTGCATTCTTCTTCTTCCCATTCCTTTCAGTCCTTTTATTTTACCCTCGACGACGTCGTGCTGGAGGCACTCTTTTTGCAGAAGGTGTCCGATCCAGTTTCTTTTTTCTTTCAGGATTGTGCTGAAAAAAGTCCTTTCTTCTCCCACTCTTCTCAGGACATCTTCATTTGTTATTTTGTCTATGCACTTTATCTTCTCCATGCGCCTCCAGCACCACAATTCAAAGCTTTCCAGGTAGTTCTTGTCGGCCTTTCTTAGAGTCCATTTCTCCGATCTATACAGAGCTATGATCCATACATAGCACTTTATTAGTTTATTCAGCAAGTCAAGACTCAGTAGCTCTCTTCTTTGTGAATCAGAGATATGGACCCTAAGTATAAGTCAGTAGAGCTCATTATAAATTAGTTGCTAAATCCATTATGTCAGTTTGCTCGTCAGTATAGTCTCATTCTTCCTCTAATTTAATTAATTAGAATTATACTCTTCATTAAGTGAATTTGTAAAAATAAACTAAATAAAAAATTTTAGGCACACGACGAAATGTACTTCTTAGAATAATATTAAGATTTTCAATAATTTTTGTGTTGAGTTAGATCACGCACAATAATAACTCAATTTTCAAAAATTCCAAAATATATTTTTCAATTTTTATCAAATTTGCAAAAGATCAATAAAAGAGAGTTTGCCTTAGGACAAAACTAGTTTCTTTGCCCTTGGTCGCGGGCCCTCTGTCTATTTTTGGAATAGAAATGCAGATAAGAAATTATAACAGCGCGTTACTACTCCGACCGCAAACTATCTCGGAGAAGAAATAAGTAAAGTAGCTCAGAATGGACACAAGAAAGTCAAGTTTTTGCGAGGAAAGTCGACTCGAGGACAGGTTTTTATCGAAAACATCATAATATCGAAATAGATCCATGACTAAGCCTGCAGCACTAATTCAAGTGCAGAATAATCAATTTCAGATTTAAAAAAAAGTTTATTATATCTATTGTCGTTTTTGAACCATTCGATTCAATTAAATATGTATAAGATATCTAATTATACCTATAAGATACTCCAAAATTGCAATTGAAGTAGACAAATGATTAGATGCAATTGTTCCTAATATTGTACATTTAAACCATATGATTAATGCATGAAAGAATTTTGAACAAAATCAAAATAGCTGCAAAAATTCTGTCTTTGCAATGTTTATGCCCTACAACAGCTCAGTTTATTCTAAAAGTTAAGTTATTGGAATGATCTTAGGTACAGTAATCGTAAAGTGCTAGAATTCACATTTGTACACTTATTAATTAAATCACATATAACATTTAAACTATTCGATTCATCTGAATGATGAGGTCTAATGTGTTCACGGTTGAACAAGATTTTGTAACATCAGAAGTCTCTGCAACAATTCAATCTCCTCTAAAGACGTGAAATTTGATTAGAAACTTCATTAAGAAAAAATTACTCAGGACGCACCGTTTGTACCAAGTTATTGAATTTAGAATATGTCATTTTTCAGAATATTCATTATAAAAACAAAATTTTATAAATATTTTAAATTATGAAAGGTTATATACAACCATACTTGAATACAACTTGTAATTAATGTTATAAGTGAGTATCTTTATCAACGATGATCTTTGGTAGACTATATTCAAAAAACTAATTTTTGCTTGCGAGAGATTTAAATCTAATTAAACATTTTTGTATAGATAATATCTTCGTCTTATTTTATCTTATTTATTTTTCCATAAAATCTTGGTATTTTAGTGATGTAAAATAACTGTAATATCTTCAGTCGACCTTTTTGTACGCCGCCGATAGGAATTTATACGTAAAACGGGAAACAGAATTTGAAACGCTGGAAGATGAAGATTTAACGACTCTTCTTCATTTTCTTCGTGAAAAGACTTATTGTTTAATTTTATGTTATTTATATAAAATCGAATTTATCAACAGCACTTGTATATATATATATATATATATATATATATATATATATATATATATATATATATATATATATATATATATATATATATATATATATAAATGCATATATATATATCAGCGTTTAAAAAACTAATAAAAAATCAAGGTAAAATTTTATATCCATACTTTTTATAGTTTTCTCAGTGCCGACAGTTTAATTGTTTCTTATTTTTAACGCCAAAGTTTCGTAACACAAATAAGTTGCTTCTTTGACTCTAAAATGTATGAGCTTCACAGGATGCCTTAGACTCTAAGGCCTAGATCTTTATTATTCCTTATTATTAATTATTACTTTCCTAAAAAATTTGTAAAACAGTGGTGCTAGCGGGGCTAGAATAAAACTACTAACCCAGAGAACGTGACTAAACAACATGCATTTGTTGTTTGTTTGTTAGTAATTATATATTTTATTAACATATTTAAATGAATTCATTGCCATTCGACTGACTTTCCACGTTTAATGTTTTTGCTTTAATTTCAAAAGCACCTTTCTAATCATAATCATAATATTAATAATCACTATCACTTTTCTACAAGTGCGTTTGCGCAAATAATTACACGATTATGAATATTTAAAAAAAGTTCTATAGTAGTATGTCATTAAAATAATCTAATGACTTTGTTCAAACAATAGTAATTAATGCAATAAGAATAGACACTATGAAAGATAACATATCTCAATTACAAAGCTGTAATACAAATGGTGCATCCTGAAAAGATCTTGGAAAATATTAATCAATCAGAGTCAATTTACACTACTTTTGCAGATAAAATCCTACCCAATTTAAAAAGTTGTTAAAACCTACCAAACTAATTTTAGCATTTGCTATCGCAATAAATAGTATTGGAGAAGGATATGTTAAAATAAAAAATTGCAAAGTAATTCAAAAATAAATCTTCACGTGCATGAGATTTGTACGCCAAAATTCTTGTTACTCAATCATCAATGTTAGGTACTTTCTATTAAAAATTGGCCAAATTCATTTTCTAAACCAAATCATGTACAAAGGTTGTCTTTCATCATAGACCTGTCTTCATGTGTGACTGACCGCATAGCTCGTCGGCTTTTACTTTTATTTTATATAAAGCAATTTCCTACAAAATTAACAAACATAATCAGCAAACAATAGACAATTGCCTTCATGTCGGTGGCGATTTTCCTTATCCAATTGTATAATAATTCCAATGTAACAATACTGGTATTGTTTCTGATGCAAAGACAATGCAGTTGACACAATCTAATTCGATAAGATTTATGGTTACAGATTAAGATAGATTGGTCGGAATTAAGATAGAATCATGAATAAAAAAAATGCTCATCTTTGCTATTCTGAAGACAAGTACGGAACCTTGAGTCTGGTTCTTCTCCCATCTTGAGAGGACGTCGGAGACCTTTCACCTTGAGTCCAAGAGACCTCCACCACTTTTATTGTTTTGTGATCCGATACGATGCGATTTGGAAATTGAAGAAAAATGATAACAGCTCTCTTCAAAATAGCATATAACTCAATTTATTTCAAAATACTTCTCGGTTCTAGTACTTTTTCTAATAGAAGATATTTTGCGGTATACCATATTCAAATTAAAAGGCTGTACATACTGTGCGTCCTATAAACAGTGTAAATATTTGTTAATTATTGTTTACTCACGCTTAGTATGGAAATCAATTTCATGAACTATTTAATAACTGAAAATTTTGTTAGAACACTTATCCATTTTAGTATTTGTTTTCAAACAGATTTTTGAAAGATAATGTATTCTAATTACAAGTGCAAACGGTGCATCACGATCAATGTAAGATATATATATATAATTATATATATATATATATATATATATATATATATTTATATATATATATGTATATATATATATATATATATAAACAGTTAATATGATTTACATTCCGCAAATTGGGTTATTAACGCTCAACTATGCGTTCTGGTTAAAAACGCATCAGGAGCAGCAATCTTTTTTTGAATAAAAGTATTTAAATCGTAAAACCGTTGTGAATAGATTATGTATATATATATATATATATATATATATATATATACCGACCATGCATACCTATAACTAATTGTAAGTATTATCAGTTATAAATTTTCAGTAATTGTATTATATAATGCAATATTGTTATTTATTTTCATAAAGCTCCTAATGAAGAAGACATTCCATATATCCGAAACATAAAAATAATCATAAACGAGAAACTAAATAAAGAATTTTAGTTCAGAATTATAAAATCATGAAAAATATATAGACGAACATATGCTAAATATTAAAATATTTTTCATAGTTCTGAAATGTTAAACTCAAAGTTCAAATTTAATTTTTTTCTTCAAATTTTAAAATATTTCACTAAATCATTTATTAATTATTTCTGGTATTTCATGATTATAAGATTGGATTACTTTTGATATATTTTAATAATTCTTTAATTTTGATTATTTTTTTATAATTATTGATTACTATTCATATTTTTTATAATTCTCAATAATTTATCATGATATTCATTAATATTAGAACTTCTAATAAATTATTAATCATATAAGATTTCAGGGCTCCATAATTCTGAAAATTTTCAATCTCTGGAAAATATTAGAATTAATAAGATATATAAATATTTGTGGTTAACACAAATATTTTGCACTTTGGAATTCGCCACAAACTTCTTTGTCAACATTCTTCCAATCGTCTTCGTCCTTTTTTCCAACATGACCAAAGAAAAGAAATAAATCAATTGCGTTGAAAAATGTCACCAGGGAATAAAACAAAATGTGCATCATAAAGATTCCATATATAAAATTTCAAGACTACTCACTGGGTACAATAATTATTGTGTTATTCATATTATTTTTTGGTCTTTAGACTTGGAATTGTTTTACCCCTTCGGTGGTGTGCAAAAAATCAATGTACGCCACTGTATAATGTTTTAGTTGTTTTATTATAATATTATACAATGATATTTGACAATAGCTTCGGTCAACGAACCGAGAACCTCCAAGGCGGCCGCGGGTTCCAGAGAAATACACAAACGCGATCTTTCTCGTACAGGAACGGGACACGGGAATAGTGCGGGCGCCGACGAGAAAAATAAATTTAACTAGTGGGGCGCATGGCATTGTGCCTTAAGGCAAATTGCTGGAACTTCCGGAACAAAAATTATTATTTTTTAAAAAACGAATAATATATTTGAAAAAATTTTACTTCGAAAAAAATAGATTTTTGAGAAACTATAAAATTGACAAAAAATTGCTTGAAAAAAAATGTTTTCTTTATTTTGACATATTTTGGATATTCTGAACTTTTTTTCAAAGCAATTTTGACTTTAGCAAACTGCTTTAACTGCATAGAGACGAACTGTTAAAGCGCGTAAGCGCCGCGTTGCCGTCTAACTGATAAACATTAGTACGGAACCCATATGAATATATATACTTAACAAAACAAAATATATACTTATGATTTGATATGAATATGTCTAATGATCATTTTTGACTGCCAAATGTCATTTTTTTTACATTTTTCATTGCATCTCTGAAACCGCTAGACTTGCCTTTATGAAAATTTGACCAATTCTTCATTTTGTCAATACAAGTAACATTCTTTTGAAATATTAAAATCCGACGCTCCGTTCTCTTAAAAACTGAGTTACCAATTTTGGCACTTTTTGCCTGGCATCTTCGGAATGGCTAGACCTGCCTCCGCCAAAAATTAATCAGCACGTCTCCTTATCAATACGAATCGAATGTTTTTTGAATTATTCAAATCGGTTGATCGGTGTTCCCGGAATCGTCGACGAAAATTTGTATCCGCACACACACACGCACACACATACACACACACATACATCTATTTTTTCTAAGGTATGTCAAAATATTCAGAAACTTTTGAAACGTAAAGATATATAAAAATTTTCATTTTCGATTTTTTTGCGATTACTATAACTTGCCCTACATGAAATTAATAATTACATAAAAAAACCTAATTGAATCATAACTAATATCAAAGATTACTTATCTTTTTCACGAATCATATATAGAACTAATTTTTATATGTTTCTTATAATTATTATATGTAAAATAATCAATTCAAATGACTCTATAGGACGCACTTTTTTAATTTTAATATATTATATTTCAAACTGTCTATGATGACAAATACTAAATTCGGAAGGTTCTTAAAACACTTTTTGATTTGTAAAAGATTTTATCAAACCATGTTTCATGCGTAAGTGAGATTATGAATCTTTGGGTAATTTACCAATTTTGCTCTCGGATGATTGATATTTTGAGAAAGCTCTGCAGGATGCACAATTAATCTTTCAATCTTGTAATTTAGATATATTATTCCCTAGACAACAAGATATATTATTATAACAACGAATGCTATAATTGACAAGTTTTCTCAAAAAAATTTGAGCTATAAGAAGTTTTGATCCATCTCAGGGGGCGTCCATTAATCACGTGAGCGATTTTTTAATGATTTTTGAACCAAGGGGGGGATACATGGTGATATTCAAAATTACTCTCCCTCCCCCACTAAACATCACGTGCATTTTTAATTACGTGATAAAACTGTAAAATTTTTGAATTTCTTCTGAAAATGTTTGATTTAAAAAAATCAGTTAAAAAATAATGCGCGTGATATCTTACTATACCCCTCCCTCCCCCACGTGATATCTCGTGATTTTTTGTCAAACCCCTCCTCCCCCTAAAAACATCACGTGATTAATGGACGCCCTCTCATATGTGCTCTGTACTAAATAGTTCTACATGGTTTTTGTAATAAAAAGCTCTATAACCGTTTTCTTATGAAACTTTGTACTTTGAGTACATTCGTTACATCTCAAAGTGTCTATTATAATTTCCTGA